TACTATAATAACATACATATTATAATACCAGTGGTAGACCCAAGTGAAAAAGTTCCGTCAGGCTCTCCATCTCGCTGTGCACTGAGTTCACATTCAATGGCAACCCCTTGATGGCTGAGTCCATCCCTAGTTCTCACGGAAGAAGGGCAGAAGCAATCCCATCACTGACAAGGAACAGCTAGTCTCCAGTGTGAATTCATGCACTGGACTGTCAGTATATGTATTTCAGGGTTCTTCAGATTCCCGGCACCCAAACTGAATGTTACTTTCCTGATTCAAACTCTCCAGTGACACCCCAGTGCCCTTAGCATGATGTGATAACTCCTAAATGTGGCTTACCAGGCCTGGCATGACTACTGAGCCTCAACTGTGACCCCTGTCTCCAGCCAGATGAACAGCCACGGGTCCCTGGAACACCCCACCCTCTCTCTCACCTCTGGGCTTTGTCCCTGCTCTTCTCTCTGCCTGGAACACGCATCCCTTTCCCCATCTTCTTGTATCTGGCTAATTCCTCCTCATTCTTAAATTCTGTACTTAGACGTCCTGAGTAGATGCTGATAGTGACCTATCTGTGTCCCCTACTTTCACCATTTCTGTGCATACCAGCTGACCCCCAGGTGGCAGCACCCACATTTATGGTCTGAGGGCTTTTCGTAGACACGGGAACCCACTCTGCTGACTGCGGGGCAGGCCTGAAGTGCTGGGGAATCAACACTCCCTGCAAGGAACAGCCTTCTAACAACGGATTGGCAGGACTCGGTGCGTAAATACCCTGGCTCTCTTCCTCCTCGGGAGGGGCTTTACACCAGCCTCAGAATTTCGCTGCGGGATTAAGTTCCAGGCGCCCATGGTGCTAACTTGCTTGAACATATACCTTCCAAGGCTGCCTTTCTTGTCTGTGTCATCCTGCCATTGCCCTCCCAGAGTTTCCTTCTCCCAAATTAACTGGTTGTCCTTGCATTCTTGTCTCAGGATCTGCTTCAGAGAAACCCATACTGAGAGCCATGGCTCCTGAGAGCCTTTCTTGGCAAGTGGGACAAGCAGATGTCCCTCCCTGACTCTACCACAGCCCCAGTCCTTACCTTAGCACAGCACTCGTCACATTGTGGTATAATTGCCCGGGTCCCCACAGAAACACAGACAATTCACTGGGACAAGTTAAAATGGATGGGAAACATTTGAAAAGATGGTCAACTTCACTTATGACTTAATGAAACTCAAAGAAAGAATGCCAGCCGATAAATACACATAGAAGGGCAAAGTAGAAAATATTTTTACAGCCTCTCATAACTGATTCAGCCAAGGACCATCAATGGAGGAGAAACCGGATACCCATAAGGTCCTGATGAGAAGAGGCAAAATGGGCATTTAAACATGGAGAGGGGTGGTCACCACCTCAAATCCAACTTAGCGTCATTAATAGCAGGACAACAAGACATCGTGGAGCTCCTGACACAAGGCAAAATGAAGCGCATGGCACCACCCACGAAGGAATGATTAAATGTTTGCCCCAAAATGCTTCACCCGAATCTAGTCTTCCCTTTAGACCCAAGTACTAGTTTATAGGAAATACAAGGGAGAGTATGACAAGTTAAAGGGCAGAACAGTGACCAATCAGACCCCCAAGTGGAACATTCTACAGGACACCTGGCCTAGTCTCTCTGTGAGTTAACACCATGGAGAAAAAAAAATAAAAAGAAACAAGAATCATTCTCCAAAAAGAGACTTGAGAAGTAACAACAGAATTCATGGCATGGTCCTTGACTGGATCCTGGTTCAAACAAACTATGAAGATCATTCTGGTACAACTGGAGAAATATGAGTATGAACTAGATATCAGGGCCTTATTGTGAATTTTTTTAATGTGAAAAATGTGTTGTTTATGTGAGAAAATGACCTATGCTAGATATAAAGTATGTAATACTGAAGTATTTCACCAATAAAGTATCATGATGCCTATAATTTGTTTCAAAATACTTCAAACCCTCCTCCCTTAATTAAACAAACATGGCAAGCTTTAACCAATGATTATATTCAGGTGATGGATATATGGGTGTTCATTGAGCTGTCTTGTTTGCTATGTCATATGTTTGAAAATTTTTTATAATAAAAACTCAAAAAGGAAAAGCAAATAAAAACTGTGATACACCATTTTTTTACCCAGAGATTCAAAAAGAAACAAAAAAGTTTAACAGTACGCTGGGTTGGAAAAGTGCAGGGAAATGGCCCTTTTGTGGATTCTTAGTGGGGAGTGTAATATGGAATAGCCTCTTCCGAGGGAACTTTGACAGAGGCAAATTCTTTTTTTTTAATTTTTTATTGTTTTTTTTTAATGTTTATTTATTTTTGACAGAGAGAGCATGAGTGGGGAAGGGGCAGAGAGAGAGGGAGACACAGAATTTGGAGCAGGCTCCAGGCTCTGAGCTGTCAGCACAGAGCCCAACATGGGACTCGAACCCAGACCGTGAGATCATGACCCGAGCCGAAGTCAGACACTTAACCAACTGAGCCACCCAGGCGCCCTAAGAGACAAATTCTTTGGTCTAGCAATTCCACTTATTGGAATTTGTTGTATAAATTATACTCAAACATGTGCACATATCTGTATGAATAAGGATTTTTACTGCAGCATTGTTTTGTGTGTGTGTGGTTTTTATGTGTGTGTGTTTTGTAAGTTGGCTTTACCCCCAGCGCAGAGGCCAACTCAGGGCTTGAACTCTAGACCCTAAAGTCAGACCTGAGCTGAAACCAAGAGTCAGAGGCTTAACTGACTGAGCCACCCAGGTGTCCCTGCAACATTGTTTTTATAACAAAAGATTAGAAACAGCACATGTGGCATAGGAGTTGTTACATTTATTATGGCGCATTCATACAATGCAGACTGTTAGTATGGGCTAGATCTGTGTTGATAGGAAACTCCAGATATATTGCTAAGTGAAATATGCAAAGAGCAGGTCAGTGTCTGTCTTATTTTTCACTGCATTTCTGGTACCACTGAAGTGACTAGCACACAATGGGTGCACAATGAATATTTGTTGAGGGAAGGAATACACATTTGAGGTGTAACTGCTGTGGCATGGACACCTGTATGCATTCAGGTTGAAGACCCAGATAGGGACTGTGGGGCATCCCAGTAGGGTGCGGGGTCATGGCTCTGGTGGTATAAGAATTCACCCAAGGCAGAACAAAAGAGATAAAAGTTTATTGAATACACTGCAAGGCAGCACTTGTGAGACAGCAAAGGGGAGACTGCTGAGAGGTGGTGGCGAGGGGCTAAAGTTATAGGGTAGAGTAAAAGAGTTATGGGGATGTATGCAATTGTCCTTTTTGGGTAATCTTAGGAACTGTGCCTGGTTGCAATTGGTCTCTTAGGGCCTATGGCTATTTCACGGTGGCTTGTTTAATGAACCTGTTTGCATCAGCTCGGTGGTCACTCTTTTTGTGACCCTTTTGCCTCGCTCTACATTCCATTGCTCTAGTCTGTTGCCTAAAAGCAGCCTCTACATGGACCAGATTTTTCACCTTGATGGAATATCTAAGGTCTTACTTCCCTGAATTCAGACATTTGAATTTTCCCTCAAGACACACCATATCCTTCTTTGTAAAACCAAATCATGAGCAACAATATACTTGGAGGAAAAAGAAGGAATAAAAATTTCCTGAAAGGGTGACAAAGAAGTTGCCGAACCAGGGAGGCTAATGTGGCAACTGGGAGTTAATAGAAAATGTAGCTCCAAGCCTCCTGGCAGCCAAAGCAAAAAAGGGAAACCCATGGACCACAGAACTTTTGTTGTCTGGTAGAAGGAAGGACACTGATTCCTCAAGAGCCATGCTCATCAATCTGAAAGGAAGATGTGCTAAGGAGTCCTTGCTTGATAGCATCACATGAGGGAGGGAGGGAAAATTGAGAAGCCTATCTCCCTGGTGCATCTATTTGTTCAATGGTAAATAAATTAAAACAATATTTATATCAAGGGAAGCACGGGTGTATTAGGGAACTTTCTATGGAACTCCCATGAATATTAAGCATAAACTAAGTGACAGCAGGGCATTACAGGCTTTCTTGGGCTCCTGTAGTTGTGCCTCAGTCTCCTGGGTGAAGATGTGACCTTGGACCAATGACTTGACATTTCTGAGCCTGGCCTTCCTCCTCTAGTAAAAATGATTATTGTGCAGATGAATGAGATGATGCGTACAAAGTGCTTGGGTTGATAACAAGCTTGCTGTGCTGTTGTTTATATCATCATCGTAGTATCATGACCTTATCACTAAGAGCATATACTCTGGAGCCAGACAGGCTGGGTTCGAATCTCGGCTCCACCGCTTACTAGTTAGGGGACCTTGGGCAAGGTCACTTAGCTTCTCTGTGCCTCAGTTTCCTCTTCTGTAAAATGAGGCTCATAGGATTATTGTGAGGACTCAGTGAGTTGATGGTTGTAAAGCCTGGGCACACGGCAAGTGCTATGTAAGCGTTTGCTCTATATTTCATAGTTTGTTCCCCTCTGCCCTTAGAGATCCTTCAGGAGAAATGCTAGGAAACAACAGCTCCAAAGAGAGAAAAGCTATTTCCAGACACTGATTTATACAAGGAATGGGTCTCTATAACACCAGGTGTCCTAAGAGGTATTTGCTTTTGGAAGACTGAGAGTCAGAATGCGTTAACAATGGTGGAGTCTTGGCAGGTGGCTGGCCAGATATGAGCTATTTGGGGGACATGGCCCATTCTCCTGTGGCTCCTCCACCCCTTCCACGGAGCCTGACGGAGGGGACTGGCAGCTTTTCTAGCAGGGGCCAGGGGCGTCCCTAGGGGAGGAGGAGGGAAGGAGATCCCGGGATCCCCCGCGCCCCTCCCCCACTTGCCCAGCGAGTAATGACATTCACGGAGAGGGGAGGGAGGGAGCGAAGCAGAGGGGCAGGCTCGGCGAGGCCATGTGATGCTGGGCGAGAGAGAGCCGCCGCCGCGGAGCCTCCTTCTTTCCTCCCTCTGATTCCGGGCTGTCATGGCGACCCCCAACAACCTGACCCCCACCAACTGCAGCTGGTGGCCCATCTCGGCGCTGGAGAGCGATGCGGCCAAGCCGGTGGAGGCCCCCGACGCGCCCGAGGCGGCCAGCCCCGCCCATTGGCCCAAGGAGAGCCTGGTTCTGTACCACTGGACCCAGTCCTTCAGCTCTCAGAAGGTAGAGCCCAAGGGAGCAGGGGAGCCGGATGCACCCAGTAGCGAGGAGGCTTGGGGGAGGGGATTCAGGAGGAGGAAGGGGTCCGAGGACCTGGTGAGAGGCTGGAGGGTGGGATGTGGGGGTTCGGGGACCCGGAGGATGGAGGATGCTGGGCCGCTCTCCAGGGAGGTGACTGGCGCTGTCTTGGGCCCCAGGAGCACCGTCCCCAATTCTGGGAACATCCATTCTGCCTCTTTCCCTCCCAGAAAGACCTGGTCTGTTGGAGGGCTGAGAAGAGAGACAAAGACAAGGGGAAGGGAATGGGCACTGCTGGGAAGGCGGCCTGTTGGAGGGGGCGGCTGCTGCGGGAAGGGAGGAGGAGCGCTTCCTGGGATCCAGCCTCCAGCCCCGGTAGCCCGGTTGTGGGCCTCCCTCCACGCTGCTGTCCTGGATACGACAGGCCCTCCAGATCACAGCTTCTGCCCAGCTGGGAGCCTTCCTCTGGCTGGGGCTTGAAGGGTCTGTCCCTGGTCCTCTCCCGCACCCCCACTTATCTTGAGCTGAGAAAGGAGTTAACCCATCTCCTGAGGCAAGCTCAGTTCGGCCCCTAAAATCTGTTTTGCTCTTAAAGACAGAGAGGGCCCCTCAGCGCCTTCGCAGACCCAGTTGAGCTGGGTCGCAGTTGGGAATCCAGCCTGATGCTGAGTTATCAGGGTTCCCGCTTCCTGGGGGCGAGGGCCAGGCACAGCGCCTGTGACAGGGGCGCCTCTAGGGGCGCAATCTCCCACCCTAGGCGGCTGTCCGTCAGTGGGGCACGAATTCAGCACCATGGCCAGGGCCCAACAACGTGTGCTGCTGGGTTCCAAGTGGCACCCATTGTCAGACCCTGGGATTCCTCTTCTCCCTGGGAGATCCTTTTGTTCCATTCACTCATTTTCCAGATAGAGAAACAGGTTCCGTAAGGAGAAAGGGACTTGGAGCCAAAAGACTTGGGTTTGAGTCTTGGTCCAGGCTCAGTTCATCATCTGGAAAATGAGGTAACAATAATTATAATAATAGCAGCTACTTCTAATTCCCAGCCCTTCTCAGAGTTGCTGAGAGAGTTGTTGAAAAGGCAGTATAACTTCGTGTTCTAGACTGGCAGTACTCAAACTTGAGCATACATTGGAATCACTGCATGGTCCTGGTTAAAACACAGACTGCTGGGTCCCACCCCAGATGTTCTGATTCAGCAAGTCTAGAGTGGGGCTCAAGATGCTGCATATGTCCAGCCAGCTACCAGTGATGCTGATAAAGCTGGTCCACTGATCCCCCTTTGAGTAGCTCCAGTTTAGAGTATAGACTGAGGCCAGACAGTCTCCAGTGGAAGAGCCATCCTCCCCAGTAATTCATTGTAAAACTTTAGACAGGTCGCCTTGCCACTCCAAAGCCTCAGTTTTATAATCTGTAAAATGGAGCTAATGGCAGTACCTTTCTCAGAGGGCTATTTTGAGGGTGAAATAAGGTGACACAAAAGAAGTGCTGATGGCAGTGCCTGGCACAGGGTCAAGTTTCTGATAATTATAGGTGTGATATCACCACAGTGCTAGGTGAAGGAGGGGTCAAGTTAACCAGGGCCACTCTGGGACTCATCCGTAAATTTTACAAATGCCTGCTGAAAACCTACTGCATGCCAGGCTCCGTGCAAGTAGCTGGGAGTTTGGAGATGTATTGGACTGACGTCTAGATTTCAGAATACCTTCCTATCCAGAACCTCAGGATCCAGACCCCAGTGATTGGGACTGGACAGGGGACAGAGGGATGGTACCTTCCATTACCATTCCCAAAGGGAGCTTCCTGCTCCTCCCCTTGCCCCCATGGAAGATTTCCTATTCAGCCTGCACTCAGGGCTCAGGTAGCCCCTTATTCAGGCATGGGACTGCTCACTGCAACCTCATTTGTGACCAGGCCAGCCTGGGAATCCTCCTGCCTCCCCGTCCATGGACTTCCCGTTGCCTAGGGGCCTGTGGTGGGTTCTAGAGACAGTGTATCCTGGTGGAAAGGGCATGGGCTCTGCAGTCAGATGGTCTTGGATTCCATTCTCATCTTGAGTGCTTACTGGCTGTTTGACCTTGGACAAGTCACTTAACCCCTCTGTGCCTCAATATCCTCATCTGGCAAAAGGGACTTTTGCATCCAACCCTGCCGAATTCCTGAGGGTTTGAGAGGACATGGACATATGTTAAGTGTCTGGCACATAGTAGGAGTTTAGCAGGTGAGTTTCCTTCCTTTCAGTCCCAAAGGGCCCTGCCTGCATTCGGGGAGCAGTTCCCCTTTGTGGAGCATCTGAGAAGCCTGTCCTTAATGGTACATGAATAGCAGAAAATAGCCTACCCCCAAGAATGGCAGTGGCTCCATGGGACATCTGGGGACTATTCCAGAGCTAGAGGGCAGTAGGACAGTGAGGGGAGCCAGAGCCCAGACTCTGGGGCCAGACAGCCCAGGGTTCAGTCTCAACTCTGCCACTGACCAACTGAGTAATTCTGGGTAGGTTGCTCAGCCTCTCATGCCTCAGGCATCACGTCTGTAAATTGAGAATAATAACAGCACCTCCGGGATAGGGCTGTTGTGAGGATTCAGCAAATGTATCCATTAAGTCACCTAGAGCAGCACCTGGCACACAGAAAGTGCCCAGTAAGCGCACTTACATTTACTAGACAGGAGAGCAAATCCTGACTGTGCCACTTCCCACTGCGTGACTGTGCACGTGTCTTCACTTCTGTAAGTCTCCGCTTCCTCCTGTGTTCAAGAGGAACGGTTCCTACCTCAGAGGGCTGTGAAGACTGAGATCATGCATGGTCACACACTTCGCACAATGCCTTAAAAACGACACGCTAACAGTGAACTTTCAGGCACCATCATAAGTGATCATTTGAGGCCACAGGGCTCAAAGGGGGTTCTAAATGCAAAGTGTAGATGTTAGCTTGCTTCTGAGCCTGTTTCTGGCCCCCCAGCCACCTTCTCCTTGGCTTGGGGGTGGGGAGGGGGCAGAAGGGTGAGACTGGAAGGGGCAAGAGTCAAGACACCAGCATCCAGTGCTGGCATTCTCATTCACCAGCTTGTGGCCTCAGGTAGTTCCTGATCCCCTTTGGTCCTCAGTTTCTTCCACATGAAAATGGACTACATGTTGATACAACTTGAATTTCTCCCTCCCCAGGCAGGAAGAATTACCCTGTCTCTGTGTGTCCCCATCCCTCTGAGCATCTTTCTGTCCTCACACCAGGCAGTTTTTCAAAAACCAAGATTGCTATTTACTGGCTGTGTGACTTGGGACAACTTAGCGCTGTCTCTGTGGCTATTTCCTCTTTTATAAAACGGGCGTGATACTAGTACCTACCTCATTAGGCTTTTTGTGAGGATTAAATTAATTAATACACATAAATGTCTTAGAGTAGCGCCTGGTACAGAGAAAGCCCTTTTTGGGAGTTAGCTATATTGTTGTGATTTCCACCAAGGTGAGCCTCTGAGAGCCGTCCTTGGCTTCCTGCAACAAGCTTGGTTCAAGTTTCCCTTATTCCATCCTCTCAGGGTCTGCCCTTTTCTTGGAGGTAACTTTGGGGAGAATCTGGCCCAGCCTTCTGCCCCCAGGAGTGAGAGGCCCAGGTCAGGGTCCTGTCAGAAGACAGTCCTGACACCCAAGACTGAGCAGGTCTTCCAGAGGCCCCTCTCAGACATGGCAGGAGGAAGTGAGAATGGAGGGTGATCTCTACCTCCTACCTGGGCCTTGCCTTTCAAGCTCTTGGGCACTGGCTCCTAGCCCTGTCCACGCTGCCCTTGACAATTTGCCCCACCCCCACCCCCAGAGGCTCACAGGTGACAACTGCCGACCTCCCCATTCTTCCCAGAAGCCTGCAGTGGCTCGCCAGGTGCCTCCAGGAAAGAGCCAGAATCCTCGTCATGGCCTCAGGCTCTACCTCAGGATCCTAACCTTCCTTGGGTCACAGACCCCTTCATCAATAGAGGGGAGCCTGTGAACCTTTCTCAGAATAACGCTTTTAATGAAATAAAGTAAAATACATAACATTACTAGAAGGGAAGCCAATCGAAGTATAGCTGTTGACATCCTTTTAAAACAAATTCATTATGTAATAATATATGTTTCTGGATTAACCCATTCTATAACCTTACCTGGTGGCAGGACTGATCACTGTAGTGTCGAAGTCGTGATGAGTGTAACCGTAGCAATGTGAAGTGATGAAAGTATCTGATGCCTTGTGGTGACAATATTTCAGGCACTGCGAACACTACCATGCTTTGTCGCCTACACTCATAATTGAAGAAAATGATAACTGTCAGTATGAGATTACTGAAAGTAAACATGTGATTTCCCCATCTTAGTTCAAGGAGCCACGGAATTTATTCACGGAATCTGGGGTCTTGATTAAAATGCCCTGTGCAGGGCCTCATCCCCTCTCATCTCCCCGCCCACCCTGTTCCAGCCACACTGGCCTCCTCATTGTGTTTCAAACATGCCAGACATGCTCCTGCCTCAGGACTTTTGTGCTGACTGTTCCCTCTGCCTGGAACTCTTTTTCCTCAGATCCCTGTGTGGACCCCTCCTTCACCTTTATTAATTAAAAAAAAAAAAAGGATAAATACACTGAAGCTCAGAGACTCTTAAGTGTCTTTTACAAAGTCATACAACAACTAAATGGTTGGGCGCAGACTCCAAGCCAGCCCATTGCAATTGCCTGGTGAGGAGGGACAGTCCCGACTCTGAAGCACCAGTGAGCTAATTCCATGCACCCGCAGAGAAGATGGTTTGCCCAGGGGTGGCTGATGTCTGGTCACACTGAGTGGTGACCACCAAGGCTGGTCCAGCCTCCAGGGTGCAGAGAGGCAGATGGCCTTGGTGACTGCATGCCCTTCCCCTGGACCTGGCTTCCTCCCACACTCCCCTCCCCCGCAGGATGGCACATGGTTCTGGCCTGCAGCTCCGCTAAAGGAGAAAGTCTCCTTGGCCGCCTGCCGGCCTGACCCTGAGGCAGCTCCAAGCAAAACTGTTACATCTCTAAAGATAGTCCCCTCCCCAGGCACTAGCCTCATCTGGCACCCTCACTAGAATTCCAGGGCAGGACCTGGGAGTGGTCCTAGGAGCAGGTGCCCTGCCAGGATGCAAGGCCAAATGTCCGGACCTGTCAGGGACAGAGGCCTGGTTTGGTTTCTGTTTCCATCCATTCAGCGGTCCCAGCTTGGCCTGGAGGCTGGATGGCTGGGCAGAGCGCGATGGTTCAGGGCCAAGGATGCCAGGATGGGCCGGAGGAAGGGAATGGGCAGTTCCGCTCCAGCCAAACTCCAGCCTTGATGGCTCTGGGGCTCCTCCTGGGCTCAGGCAGGAGAACATACACATGCACACTCACCTACACATACACACAAGGACACACACTCACACGTGCATATGCACGCTCATATCCACACTAATGCACACGCACTCACACAATGCTTTAATACTCACTCAGACACTCATCCATACGCACCCGCACTCATGAACACATGCACACACACACACACACACACACACTTGCACACTCATGCAGTTGCTACTCACGTTCAGGCTCACACACGTATACACTCACACACCCAGACCCAACAGATGCCACCCCCGGTGCTCTCTCTCTCTGCCACAACTCCTCCGCCTCTCTTAGAATCAGCCATTCCTCCCACTGTCTCCTGTGTGGTCCGAATGTAGCGTTAGCTGGCAGCAAGGCGCTCCTCCAACGTGGAGTCCAGCCCTCATTCTACTCATGATTAAAAGGAGGCTCGGGAAGGGGCAGTGACACTCTAACATCACATAATAGCATTGCTGTGGCAGAGCCAGGGCGAGGACCTCCCAGCCCCATCTGTAGGACCTGCTTTTGGCTAATGGAGCAAATGAATCTGTGAATGAGCATTGGGGGTTCAGGGGCTAGTTACTTCTTCCTCCCCACATGGAAAGAGGTGTTCATGTTAGCTGTGAGGGTTGAGCATGAAGTACTCTAGGATACCAATCATGATGGTGAGTGTGTGTGTGTGTGTGTGTGTGTGTGTGTGTGTGTGTAATAATGATGGTAGAATCCATGTATTAACCTCCCGTGCTGGGACTTTATCCATACGATCCCATCTCAACCTCATGTCAAGCTTGAAGGAATGGATTACATTCCTCATCTCATAGAACCTAAGATTAGAGAAGTCAAGTAACTCGTCCAAGATCACACAGCAAATAAGCAGCAGAGCCAGGCTTCAAGTCTAGATCTGTCTGCTTCCAGAACCTGATCTCATGCAAGTAGCTAAGACACAATATGCCTATGGGGTGCCAGGCACTGTTCTGTAGGGATTAATGTATCTAATTGTCACAGCAGCCCTCTGCGGGAACTGCTAGTGGGCTCTCATTGGACAGATGAGGAAACTGAGGCACACAGATGTAAAGCCAAGTCACCCAGCAAGTAGGTGCCAGAGCTGGGATTTGAACTGACAGTCTGGCACTGAGTCCAAGGTCCGACTATGACACCATGCTGACCCTTCTGAGTGCTTAACTCCTGGCATCTGGGAGGGAGGCTGCGGACATCCAGTCCCAAGAGCTACCAACCAAGTGTGTGTGGGGACACTGATGCTCAAGGAGAACCACTTTTGCTAGGCTCAGGGATGCCCTCCCTTCCCCCTGCCCTGGAGCCTTTGGTAGAGTTGCTTGCCATCTTTTTGCTGGGGAATTTGGACAAAAGTCATCTTTCTGAGTCTCAGTCCACAAGCAGGGGACAGTTGGACCAGGTGATCTCTAATTATCTTCCAACTCAGAAATGTTGGGCTGGGTCAGGAGCAGGCCCCAGCCTCAAGGCTCTCCATTAACTTCTACCAGCTCAAATATTCGTCTGGGACCCCCTAGAGACATAGGGAAAGACTAAGGAGGGGGCAGGCCCAGGATTCCCTGAAGGTGCCCGCAGGAGTCAGGACCCACTGTTTCCGGTTTCAGGTCTACAGCTAAATTGCTGTGTGACTTTGGGTAAGTTACTTGCCCTCTCTGGGCTTTGGTTTTCTCATCAAGAAAAACAGGGAGATAGCCTCTATTCTACCCTCTTTGGGGAAGCTGTTGTGAACAACAACCAGATGGGAAAGTGTCTGGGGGCAATAAAAGGCTCAGCTGATGTTGGCAAATTATTTTCCACCTTGCTTTGTTTCCTAAATAATTTGAGAAATATTGCTATCGATCATGTTGATGATAAGAATTCCTATGAATTTCCTGGCCAGATGTACCCCTGGAGGCCAGGCTGAGTGTCCAGTCATAATAGTGAAACCATGACTTGAGTGCCATCTATGTGCCAGACACTGGCATGGTACTATTAATACTTCCGTTTTGCAAATAAAGAAACTGAGGCTCAGGAAGTTTAATGAATCTGCCCAAACACACACAGCAGAGCCAGGAATCCTATCCCAGGTATGTCCAGCTGTGAAACCCAGTCCCATAACTATGAGGGAGCCCTGCCCCTTGGCCCCAGATAGGGCTGTGTTCCTCCCACCAAGAGGCGCCAGGGCCCTGGGAGAGTCCACCTGCCCAAAGAATGAGCAGGAAGCAACAGTGCCCCCTCCTGTGTGTGACCTCTGACCTCCCTTCCCACATGCCCCACCCCACCTGGGCAGAGTGTCCCCCGTGCGTCCACCCGCCTTCCCCGCTCTGACCCTGGCGCCTGCAGGTGCGGCTGGTGATTGCCGAGAAGGGCCTGGTGTGTGAGGAGAGGGACGTGAGCCTGCCGCAGAGTGAGCACAAGGAGCCGTGGTTCATGCGGCTCAACCTGGGGGAGGAGGTGCCCGTCATTATCCACCGGGACAACATCATCAGTGACTATGACCAGATCATCGACTACGTGGAGCGGACCTTCACAGGAGGTACGGCCGCCACATCCACCAGGGGCTCAGCCACAGACCCCAGGGACCCCACAGAACCTTGGGGAGCCTGAGGAAGCTCACTGGGACTGTGGACAAGGTCCAGTCTCCCCCAAAAGGAAGAGTGGGATGGCAGACAGGGCTCAGATGCCCACCGCCCCCAGGGACCACAGGGCCACAGGTATGGCCACGATCCTTGGGATGCTACAAACCCTATCCCCAGGACTCCAGGGAAAAGGCTGGCCCAGACATGGCCCTAGGAGCAAGGGGGCTACAACCTCCGTCCCCAGGAGCTCTGGAGTCAGAAGCATGGCCACAGGCCCTCCGAGCCCCCGGGCAGGAGCTGGACCCAGACCATCCTAGTCACCAGGAGGGGCTCAGGCCTTCTGGGGATGCCAGGGCACAGGCAGGGCCCAGCCCTCTGAATCCCTATAAGCATAGTTAGGGCCATGGACTCCCAGGAACCCCATAGACCTGGCCCCAGGTGCCCCGGAACACTGCAGATGTGAGCAGGGCCCAGACACCCTGGAACACCACAGGACCCTATGTCCTCTCCTGCCCTCCAGCCTTCTTCAGGTTCAGAAGCCCACTGCCTATAGCAGGTGCTGCAAACCACAGCTGAGAGGGGTCCAGGGCCCAGACATGCACTGTGGAGAAAGAATACGAATTAGTTGCCAACAATTAAGGATTAAGGAGAGTTCAGTTTTAAACATCCAGGTTTCTGGCTTCTCTTGAAGCCTGCCAACACTGGGCCTAGACTCCCATCGGGCAGCTCCTCAGCAGACAGCTTGGCAGGACTCCAGGGAGGTGAGGTAGGCAGGCAAGACCACTAGGATCCCCTGTCAGCTGGGGGGAAACTTTATCACAAGAGCCTGGGGAAAGGGGTGGCACCTGGGCCATGACAATTGGGGTTCCAGCACACCGGGGTTGAAGGACAGGGTGCCAGAGCCCAGTCTGTCTGAATGAGAGGGGTAGGGGGCCGGGGCAGGACCCGTTGCCCCCCAGCCCAGCCCCGGCTGTGCCCCACAGAGCACGTGGTGGCCCTGATGCCTGAGGCGGGCAGCCCACAGCACGCGAGGGTCCTGCAGTACCGGGAGCTACTGGACGCGCTGCCCATGGACGCCTACACGCACGGCTGCATCCTACACCCCGAGCTCACCACGGACTCCATGATCCCCAAGTACGCCACGGCTGAGATCCGCAGTGAGTGCCATGGGTGACCCCTCAACGGGAGTCCTTCCCCTCCTCCACATCTTCTCCCCACTGTATGTCTCTAACTCCCCCTCTTCCTCTTATCCTTCCTGGTCTCCCTCTTCCCATCCCTGCCTCTGTCTCCACCCCCTTTCTCTCTGTCTCTGTTCATCTCTCTGGCCCTCGCTCTGGGTGTCTCGTGCTCCATCCTCTGGCTCTCTCCCTTCCTCCCTCCTGCTTGCCTTCTCTCCACCACTCTCCCTGGCCGTCCATCTCATTTACCCGCTTTCAAACCAAAATGTCTCTCCCTCTCTGGCCATCTCATTCCCCTCTCCTGCCCCTCCTCTTGTCCTGCCATCCCGTACAGAGGCTGTGGGCTGTCTGCCCTCCCAGAGGCTTGTCTTGTCCATGGAGAGCTGGAGCACATTTGTACTGGAGGAGTCCCAGCCCCAGACACCTGGGGTCAGGGCCCAAGGAGGTCAGGACTATAGCTGGTGATCCAGGGCAATGAGTGACTTCAGGGTTGGTGTCACCAAGGAAGGCTGCCCAGATATGCAAGGCCCCTGTGAGGTCTCTTGTTTCTGATTGAAGCATCACCCATGTCCTGTCCTAGCTGCTAGTCTGGACATGCCCATAGCCTGGTTCATCTTTTTGTTTCTAGCACCTGGTCAATGGGGGTTAGATTAAATCAGATTATCCATCAACAGTTATTTACAGACTTTGGTCCAGGCCCTGTGCAGACACCATGGGATCCTATAGACAGATGAAGTGTGATGATTCTAAGTAGATACTAGGTACTTAATGGTCACTTCCTCCCTCTCAAAGGAGTGAGCTGTTGTTTAAAAGTGGGAAGGGGCAGGTTGTGGAACTTGATTTGTCCCTTTAGAGTACCCTTGAGTAAGACCTGGAATCTATCAATATCATCTTGTCTCCATTCAGTCAACACTTATGAGGTCTCCTACGACCCAGGCGCTGGGCAGGGGTCTGAGGACCAATGGGGACAGACACAGCTTCTACCATCCCATCTGTTCCATCACAGATAAGCAGAAAGACAAGTGGCCAGGTAATTGCAGTGTGGGACTAAACACATTTGAACAACTTCTCAGGAGGACAGTCTGGCACCCTATATCAAACACAAAAAGGCCCACACCGTGGAGATTATCCTGCAGTTACACTTGGATGTGTGCACCAAGAATCACCATTGCAGCATAGGTGGTAATAGCAAGAAGTTGGAAATAACTCAGCAGTGCATGAGTTGGGAACTGGGCAAAAAAATTCTAGTATTCCCACAATAGAATACTGTACAGCTGTTTTAAAAAATGAGTATAAGGGATGCTCCCTAAGATATGTTAGGAAGTAAGAATAAAGGAAGGCAAAACAAACGCATCTAGTGTGCTATCATTACTATATTTAAAAGGGCGTTAAATGGATACCCAGGTGCTTGCAAGCACAAAGATACACGAGAAGCTGCCAATAGGGTTTGCTTTCAGGAAGCAGAACTAAGAGACCACAGACTGAGGGGGGAGAGATTTACTTTTCACTGCACATTCTTTAATATTTGAATTTTTAAATTTTTTTAATGTTTATTTATTTTTGACAGAGAGAGAGAAAGAGAGACAGAGCATGAGTGAGGGAGGGGCAGAGAGAGAGGGAGACACAGAATCCAAAGCAGGCTCCAGGCTCTGAGCTGTCAGCACAGAGCCTGACGCAGGGCTCCGACTCAAACCACAAGATCATGAACTGAGCCGAAGTCGGATGCTCAACCGACTGAGCCACCCGGGCGCCCCTAATATTTGAAGTTTTAAACAAGTATACGTGTATAAACTGTTCAAAAACTAATTGGTTAAAAATTTTTTAACCAAAACCAATCAGTGTTATGGTAAAGGAAGCATGGAGGCTATGGGAAGATGCCCATTCCAGCCACTGGGGGCCTGGAGGGCTTCTGAAATGCAGCAACATCCAAGGATGACCAGGAGGTAGAAGGGGAGGGAGAACCCTTTCAGGTTGAGGGGGAGGAGAGGGTGTAGTGTGCTCAGGGAACTGAAGGAAGTTCAATGTGGATGAAGTGTAGTCCGAGGCAGGTATGAGTGGCCATGCTGTGAGTCTGGGGAGTAGGCCTGACAGAATTGGAATTTTGCCCAAAGAGCAGTGGAGAGACAGGGATGGACAGTGACATGATCTGATGTGCATTTTACAAAGTTCCCTCACTGAGTTAGGAGGTCCTGGCTGTCATCTAGGTGAGCAATGACGGTGGCCAGGACTGGATGGAGGCAGTCCCTAAATGCTTCTGGGGGCTGGAAGCACTTCCTCATTCCACCCTGAGTCATTTAAAGGAGCCTAGAAGGCAGTGAGGGGTCCAGAGAAGGCCTACCCTGCTCCTTCCTTTGAGAAGAGACAAGAACTCAGGGCCCCAGCCCAGCTGGGAGAGGAGAGGGATCAAACAGGATGTAGCAGTCATCCTGCAGTGACCCCTCCAATCAGTCCAAGGTCTTTCCTTGGCTTGGGTTGCCCTTCTAGAGTCTAAAGAGAGCCACGTGTACAGCCCTGGATGACTGGAAAGAGAGGAAATGCTATACTTGACCTTCACATTCATAAAATATCAATGAGATTTAATATAGCCCCAAAGCTGGAAGGTCTGGGAGCGTATTTACTGGTTTTTGTATCAGGCCAGGAGATAGGGTGGTAGATGGTGAGACGTCAGAGGGCAGTAGCTGAACACCTGCAGTCACTCATTCACTCACTCATTTTATTCATTCTATTCTATTCTATTCTATTCTATTCTATTCTATTCTATTCATTCATTCATTCATTCAACACTCACTAAACTCTTGTTCTGTGCCAGGCCTGTACTGTGTTTTAAGGAAACGGGTGAATCTGACATAGCCACAGGTATCCAGAAACTCAAATTCTAGTGGGAGACATTTACATTCAGAGAGAAGTACATCAGAATCTCTGTGGATAGCATTACAGGGTGTGAACTGCACAAGTCCAGGGGGCACTTTTCGCACAGATTGGAATGTGAATGGATTGGTGCAATGGCATCTCTGATTACTATATTTGCATTTTTTGGCAGAAATCTGCACAATGGACACTGAAGGACAAAGGCATTGAATGGTCAGACCTCTCAAAGGATCAGGATGGGATTTTTGGAGGAGGTGATCTTGTGCTGGATCTAGAAGGGGATTTTCAGGAATACAGGAGAAAGCTATTCCAGAAGGTAGAAGTAGTGTGAGCAGAGGCCCTGAGGTTTGGAATGGTCTGGCACATTCAGGCCAAGCATTTGGGTGGATGAAATGTTTCCTCAGTGAAAGGTGGAGTTGGTGAGAAGAGAGGAGAGGGATCCTGCTGGTCTTTTAAGGCACGTTGAAGAGTTTGAAGGTTATCCAAGGTCAGTGAGGAGCCAGAGTGGGTTTTAAGCAGGGAATGGCATGGACAAGTGTGTGTTTGAGGAAGACCTCTTCAGTGTGAGTGGGAAGAAGGGCACAGAGTGGAGAGAATGCCAGTGCCTGGGGCCAGGTCAGAATCATCCAGTCTGAACTAAGGGAGTCAGAGGGTTGAAAAGGAGATGTTAAGTATGGGAAAGAATAAGAAGGAGGAATCAATAGGACCTGGGACTGATTTTGTTCAGGGAGGAGGTGAAGGAGGAATTGAAGGCAACCCCCAGGCATCTGGCTTAACTTGGTGTGGGGGAGGGGTGCTGCAGTTAGGCGAGAATGCAGGCGAGGAGCAGGGGGAGCAGGGAAGATGGTGAGGTCTGTTGGGTGAGGTTCAAGGAGCCTAAGAGATGGCTAAGTGGAGTTGGGGCCCAAGGGAAAGGACCAGGCAGGACTGGGGCACCACTCTCCACCTGACTCACCACACCCCAGACTCATTGGCCAAAAATTCTGGAGAAACCCCACCCCAATCACAGAACAGACCCTAGGATCTTATCCTGCTTTTCGTTTACTAGTGTGGGATATTTAGCCTCTCCGAACCCATTTCCTTAACCACGAGAAAGAGTAGGGGGTGGCATGCACTGAAGCATGAGTCTGTCCAGGTTTATAACCTATCCATTTCTGGCAAGCTCCCACTCATTCTCGAGTAGTCCCCTCCTCAGTGGGGTTTCTTGATGCCTTGTGTCCCAGGCAGGTGGCCCTCTATCCCACAGCATTCTGTTCACCCTTCATTGCAGATTGATGGTGCCGTATCCTAGAGATTTCTTTGCATGTCTGTCTCTCCCACTAGCCTGAGCCTAGGGCAGGATGGCATCTCATCCATCCCCGGGTTCCAGCCTGTTGTGCCTACCAAGTGTTGGCTGTCCATATTGTTACTTTTCAGACCAACGTTTGAATGGAATCTACTCACAAGTTTGTGGAAGAAGGGCTGGGGGTGGCACTGGCTATCAGAAAGATGGGACCTTCCTTATTCTCTCCCCAGGACATTTAGCCAATGCCACCACAGACCTCATGAAATTGGACCATGAAGAGGAGCCCCAGCTCTCTGAGCCCTACCTTTCCAAACAGAAGAAGCTCATGGTGAGTGCTTCCAGACCTGCTCAGTTCCACTCCCCACTATCTTTCCCACGGAAAAGAACAAAGGCACGAGGCTGGTTCAAAGTAGAGGATCAGCTGATGACATGAAATGAAAACAACACTGGCTTGTTTTTCCAATTCTGTCTCCTCTTGTCATTTACTGGCTACTTGACCTTGGGCAAGCCACTGTCCCCCTGGAGCCTTGGTCTCCTCATGTCTTAGGTTGTGTCCCTAAGAGCAGAGCATTGGATGGAGGTTCTTGGATAAGAGTGACATTGAGGGAGCGTTCTGAGGAGAACCCTGTAAGGGTGGGAGGGATAGGAAAGAGGGAGGGGCCAAGTTCATCTCTGCAGCATGAGTGGCACCACAAAGTTGATCCACCCCAAGGCAAGGGGCAAGCCTTTTATACTTCTGTATCTGTCAGTCAGTGGTTACATATTGCCTGGCGGGGGCTTGAGGGGCCTGTATCTCCAGGCAGCTTTTCTTTGGCTGAGAGTAATTCTCAGGAGAAGGGGCAGCAATGAGCTCCTATCAATGAACCCTTACAGCAGTTGGTATATGAGAGTGTCAGTCCTGTGAAAGAGGTCTGGCCAGGACAGCTGAGCTCAAGGGGCCCTGAGCACCAGATGCGGGTGCTTCGTAACCATGGGGCACCCTCTACACTGAAGGGGATGTTTGGAGGCTGGGTTTGCCAAAGAGCGTCTGGGTCAAGCTCCTTCAATCCCTGGTCACCCAGGCTCAATGGAAGCCAACTCAACTCCTCTGGCTCCTGCCTGTCCTGTCCCCAGGCCAAGATCCTGGAGCACGATGATGTGAGCTACTTGAAGAAGATCCTCGGGGAGCTGGCCATGGTGCTGGACCAGATAGAGGCGGAGCTGGAGAAGAGGAAGCTGGAGAATGAGGGTGGGTGCCAGCTCTGTCTGGGGTAGGTGGGTGCTGGAGCCCATCCGGCCCACCTGACCCTGTTTAGTTCCAGCCCCTTTATCCCAAAGATGCCAGAGGACCTCCCAGGACATTAGAATCACGGGCCATGGAGTCAGATACACTTAGGTTTAAGTCCTAGCTTGACCACTTGGTAGTTAAGTGATCATGGGTCAGGTACTTCACCTCCCTGGACCTCAGTTTCTCATCTGTATAATAGGGATAATAAGAAGACCTGCCAAAAGCGTTGAAATGTTACGTGAAATAATACACGAAGAATGTTTAGGTTAATGCTTAGCACACAGTAGATGCTTAACAAAGATTGATGAAGATGATAATGCTGGTGGTAGTTGGTGGTCAACATGACCCACCACATCCTCTTGCCTTTCCCTGCTCAAGGATGCATTATGGCTCTTTCTGACCTTGATCTTTCTGTTTAAGTGGCTCTCTGGACCCTAAGTGTACAGCCTCTTTCCCATCTCCACAACTTTGCTCCTGCAGCTCTTGCAGCCAGGAGTACAGTCTCCATGCCACTCTGCTCCTTTCTCCTTTTATGTGCTGTCTTTGCTACTTCTCTTCTTCAAATTTGATTCCAGACCTTCTCGTCTTGCTCTGTTTTGGGCGACCTGTTAGTCTTGTCTCCTCAGCTGTGCTAATTTATGGAGCCTATGCAACATGGAGTGCTACACTCACAGCTTCACATGCACACCCCATCTAAATGGGAAAACTGTGGGGCACAGTGCTGTAACAGATGGGTTTAGGAGCACCTGGCTGGCTCAGTCGGTAGAGCATGCAACTCTTAACTCAGGGTTCAAGCCCCACATTAGGTGTAGAGATTACTTAAAATAAAATCTTAAAAAGAAAAAAAAAGAGAGATGGGTTTAGAGTCAGGCAGGTTTAAGTTAGAGTTCCAGCTTTGCCGCCTGTACTGTGTGACTTGGGCAAGTTGTTTTCCCTATTGGAGCCTCAGTTTCTTCATCTGTAGAATGGGATGGTAAGAACACAACTTAACGCCATCTTGTTGGACTCTTATAAAAAGTAAATGCACTTTGCACATTGCCTGGAACATGCTAGTTTAAACATATAACAGCTAACGGCATGCACATTCTCCATTTGAGAAAAATGAGGCTCAGAGAGATACGTGGACGTGCTCAACATCACACCACTCATAAATGGCACGGTTAGGGCAAGAACATGTTCCCTCTTGACAGGTCCAGTGCTCTTCCAGCATCTCGTAACTGAGGCAAGCACAAGGTACACATAGATACCTAGAGTCCTGAATAGGGACATTGCCATGAGTTCTAAAGTCAGGGCCCTAAATCCTCTGTAGAAAAAAGCATGGCAAGGCTTAGTAATGAAACTAATATACACATCTCAAGAAGGGACTTTCTCCTTCCTGTCAGGGAAGGTGCTTAAGGGAGCCCTTACAGAAGAGTGCTCAGAGGCCAGAAGGCATGGTGTTTCTAAGACTGCCTTTGGGGTCAGACAGAATTCTAGCTCTGCCATTCTCTCATTGGTCGACCTTAATTCTCAGGCACATCTTATATATTCATGGGTTAATTTGCTTGGCTGCCATAACAAAATCCCATAGACTGGATGAGTTAAACCACAGAGATCTATTTTCTCACAGTTGTGGAGTCTGGAAGTCTAAGTTCAAGGGGCTGGCAGGTTTGATTCTTCTGAGGCCTCTCTTGGGCTTACAGAGGCTTTCTTCTGTGTACACACCCCTGGTGTCTGTGTGGCAAAATGTCCTCTTCTTACAAGGACACCTCGGATTGGTTAGGGCCCACCCTGATGGCCTCATTTTAACTTACCTCTTTAAAGGCCCTTTCTCCAAATATAGTCACATTCTTAGATACTGGGGATTAGAGCTTCAACATATGAATTTTGGAAGGACACCGTTCAACCCATACTGCTTTCATCTTTAACAACACTTACTGTGTGTCGAGTACTATTCTGTTTCACATAGTTTAATCCCCATAGCAACTTTAGGAGATAATATGAGTAACTACGATGAAGAAACTAAGGCACAGAGAGGTTCAGTAACCTTCCCAAGGTCACACAGATAGAAATGGGGGAGCCTAGATTTAAACCCCTGGCTCCCAGAGTCTGAGTTTTTAAGCTCGAGCTCTGCCACTTCTTCTGTGATAAAATGAAAGCCTATTCACAGGGCTGTTGTGCGGCTCAATGAGAAAGTATGTGAAAGGGAATAAACACCTGGCCTGACACACAGTATGGAAATGTCCACAAATATTAGCTGCTGATATGATCAAGGGAGACACAGAGTGTGACCTAGATGGAGAGCAGGGTTGATAGTCCTGGAGAACAGCTTTGGATGCTCAGGTGATCCCTAGATTGGAAGCCTCCTGACCTCAGTCTCTGTGTTCGTCATGAGCTCTTCCAAGAGGAGGCAACATTGTACTGCTCCATGGCAAGATGACTGGGGCTGTTCCAGATGGGGATGTTGGACAGTCCTGTGTCCCTCCATGGCTGGGGGAGGCAGCAAAGGTCCAGGAAGTAGCTGGGCCCACATGGTCTCTCACTCATTCACCCACTGGGGCATCCCCAAACTTCCCTGGGGGGATCACTCATGCCCTCCACTTGTCCCCTCATGAGGCAGAGCCCAGGGTTGGGAGGTATTATAATGTCACAGCTAAGACCCCTAGCATGGAGCCAGATGACACTGATGTGGGTTCTTGATCAGCTGTCTCCTAGTTCTGTGACCTTATGGAATTCACTTCACTTCTCTGAGCTCTTCTACAAAATGTGGGTAATAATAGAATCCAACTCACAGGGAGGTTGTGAGGGTTCATAAAGATAATGAGTATTGGTCACTCTCCACATTACCTGGCTAAAAGTAAAATGTTTTAGAAATAGCAGTTTCAAAAATAATTACCATTACCATTCTTTTCATTCATTTATTGTAATATTTCTTGGACACCTACTGTGTGCCAGGTCCTGGTGATAAAAATGCAAGAAAAAACAAGATATTGTTCTTGCTCTCATGGAGTTTACAGTCGTATGGAGAAGAAAGACATTAATCAAATAATCCCATCAGTAAAAACAGAATTGTACACAGTGGTAAGTGTTAAGATTGATAATGAAAAGAGCAGGGAAAATCTGATAAAGCTTCTCTGAAGAGGTGACATTTCAAATAAGATTTGAAGGATATGGAGGGGCCAGCCTTGTGAAGAAGCAGGACAGGTGTGTCCCACACTGAGGGGATACCATTGCAGTGGGTGGGGGCGGGGGGGAGAGCTGGGAGCTCTCCAGTACTTGGCTACTGTGTGCTGAGTAATGGGGAGAGTGGCATGAGTGAGGTTGGAGAGAGCCAGAGAGATGCAGGATAACGGACCTGTATTTAGAATTTAGAATGTACCCATATTTATATTTTATTCATATTTAGAATTTAGATTTTATACTATATACAAATCCATCCAATGGGGAATCCTTGGAGGGTTTTGAGAAAGGGATTGTATCAGTTAGCTTTTGCTGCATAACGAATAAACTCTAAATCTGAGTGACTTAAAAGAACCTTTTATTTGTTCATGATTTGTGCTTTGGCAGTTTGGGCTGGGCTCAGCTGGGATCGCTTGTCTCTGTCTCACATGCTGGTGGTGGTATCACTCAGGTATTTGTGGCCAGCTGGCAGTCAGTGACCTCCCTGGCATGTCTGGTGGCTGGCTCGCTGTTGGCAGGGTCAATGGGAGTAAGTGGGCTACATGTTGCTCATCGCCCAGAGGCTAACCCAGGCTCATTCATATGGTGGTGGTCAAAGCCATTTCTGAGCAGCGAGGGAGCAAAGGCTCAGCACATAAACCCTTTTCCAGCTTCTATTTGTGTGGAATTTACTAGAACCCCGTTGGCTAGAGCAAGTCTTGATTAAAGGGGTGAAGACTCTGCCTCTTGTTGGCAGAAGCAGCAAAGCCACATGCACACAGGATGGGGGAAATTGGTGGCCATTGTTGCAATCCACCAATGGTGAGGTGTTCTGACTTTAAGGGCACTCTGGTTGCTGTGAGAATGGATTTCAAGGGAGACTGATGGAAGGTTGTCACAGCAGCCCAGGAGGGATGATATTGGCCTGGACTGAGGAAGTGGCAGGGGTGATTGGGAGGCGTGGATGGACTTGAGAGGCATGTTGGAGACAGAATGAACTGGAACTTGCTGAATGGTCGAGTGAGGTGGGAAGAGTAAGGAAAAGGATGACCACTGGGTTTTGGTCTGAGCTACTGAGTGGTGCCATTTCCTGATACGGGCAAAGGAGGCTGAGTGTTCAATTTGAGGCACAGTGAGTTCAAGATGCCTTTCAGACACCCAAGAGGGGGTGTCACATAGCCATTGGTATTCTAGTCTGCCTTGTAATGGACAGGTCGGAATCTGAAGAGAGATTGGTGAGACTCCAGCATATATGTGGTATTTAAAGCCATAGAACTGGGCAATTCATCCAGGGAGACAGTGGAGAGAGACAAAACAGAGGAGTCAAGGACTGATGTGTCCTTTTGCTGCACAGCAAATTTCCCCTGAATTAGGGGCTGAAACAGGAACAAAACCCACATGTTTTACATCACACATTTTCTGTGGTCAGGAATTCTGGAGCAGGGTAGATGCTGGTTCTAATTTATGGTTGCATGATGCAGGTTGCACTCAAGCTTGGCTGGGGCTGCAGTCATTTGAGCTGGAGACTCCACTTCCCAGATGGCTCAGTCACGTGGTTCTTTTTTTTTAATGTTTATTTACTTTAGAGAGAGAGAGAGCGAGAGAGCGAGGGGAGGGGCAGAGAGAAGGGGGACAGAGGATCCAAAGCAGACTCCATACTGACAGCAGCGAGCCCAATGTGGGGCTCGAACTCATGAACCGTGAGATCAGAACCTGAGCCCAAGTCAGACCAGGCGCCCCTCGTTCACATGGTTCTTAACTAAAGGTCTCAGTTCCCTGCTGGCCATTGGCAGGAGGCCTCAGTTCCTCATTACCTAAGCTTC